TACAGGAGGCTACCCATGGTAGGCTGAGAGTACTATGAAGTGTCGATTTATAGATACAGATGCGTAATGCATCGATTACTATTTCCATCGTTCACATGATGCCTAGCACATCTCCGATACAGCTGCGACACGCGAGACACCAGTCTCAATCTCCTCGCCACTTGCCTCTACCCTCACGAACCCAAGCTTATGACCCACGACTGTCTTGGTCTCGTAACCAGACTTCTCAACACTGGCGACCTTGCTAAGGGTTCCGTTGAATGCACCGCCAAATACAGACCACGTGTCAACTTCAGTGGCACCATTCCAGCTCATGTAGACCTCTGTGCCGTTGCTCGCCTTACAGGCGTACACATCAGGCTTGGTGCTCGGCTTACCAACCCACTCGGCCTTGTAAGCGCGGTAGCTCTGCACCTTCTCTGGTTCTCCCCATTTCACAGTCAATACAACATCGCCATCTTGGTCAAACTCCTTCAGAGCCGGGACGCTGCCGTATCCCATGATAGAGTGGTTGGAGGGGAGAACTTCCATGTTGCCTTGACTGACTGAGTAGATGACATCGTCTGGGTCAGCGAGTTCTTGTAGCAATGTCGCAGTCATCGTGCGCTCATCGATGGAGAGGAATATTCCGGTAGTTTCGTTGACTTTAGGTACAACGGCGCTGTTGTCGTTGTTGAACAGAGAGATGGTGGTGGTGTTGGGCGAACGAGACGGATGAATACGCGCGTCATGTTGGTAGCAGAAAGAAAGACCATTCTCAAGGGCGAAGTCGCCACCGGAGTGTCCCTAGGGTCTCGTTAGCATGGCGCTCACCACTAGTGCGTACCGTCGGAAGGATGGGAACTGGGATGAGAACTTACGTTCAAAGTCCATGCCACGGTGCCGTTTTGGAAAACCTTGTAGATGGAGCAGTAATGCCTTGAAGAGAGCAAGTAACTTCCATCCTCAAATCTTTCGATGGAGTTGATGTGGAAAGGGCCCCAAGGGTAACTGCTGTTCTTGCCTAGCTCACCAAGCGGATACGTTGGCACAGCGCTTTCGAGCGAGACTTCGTCCACGTGGTCAAGATGGCTCCACTGCCAAAGGATCTCGCTGTTCGTAACGTTGAGCTCGAGCGCGATGGAATCCACAACCCACCCATCCTTCGGGCCGCCGATCGATGATAAATCCCATGGGGTAACATTCACAGCGGCGATGAACATCGTACCCTCAGGCGTGATAAGATTCTCGTGCATATCAACCCAGCTGAAAGGTTGGTATTGGGTAGGATCGTACAGCGGATAGATGCTCTCGAGGGGGTATGTTTCGTTCCAGAGAGTGACATTGTAGATGCTCTCGTATTGCTGGTTGAGGATGTAGATTACGCCATACCCGAAACCCCAAGGTTCTGTGAGAGAGATGCCACTGAAGTAGGCCAGTACGGGTTCGCCGAAGAGCTCAGAAACTCTGAAGGCGGCGTAGTCGCCGTAGCCAGACTGCCAAACCAACTCGCCGTCTTCTTGGAAGATATTCAGACTGTAGTTGTGGGCCCCACCTCCACTCTGAGGGAAGGTGATAACTCCCGGTGAGGTGTCACCTGTCTTGTTGACCGAAAGTACCGGGGGCTGCAGAGGTAGAGGCACGAAGTCAGTACATGTCTCACATGCACTTCGTACAGTCAGAACTTACCTCGAAACCAGGGCGAGATTTGAAGGTTTGCCATGGCCAGGATGAGGTTGTGTTGTTCTGCGCATGGACAAGAACGGACGCCAGCGAGGCGAGAACGACGCCAGAGAACCGCATAGTGTGATGGGTAGAGAACAAATACCGCAGAAGCTTAGATGTTAAGGGTACCAGAGTCCTCGATTTGCTTCTTATAGGCCACACTGCACGCCCCAAAAACACATCGCGTACCCATCAGCATCAGGACACTGCACAAATGCTACGGCCGATAGACACTCGCAGAATTTTCTAATACCTTGTCGCAGTGCGAGCTTTCTGCCTAAACAAGAGGTTGACGTCGTACGTGCGGTGTTCGCGATTGGCTCCGGCGCAGTAGGTGGTGGAGAATTTTATCAATCTCATCTTATCAGATGCAGATCGATGCAACATCCGATAGCGGAGATCGTTCGGCGACCTTGGCATCGATGACGGTGGGTGCCGCCATCTCCTGAACAAGTTCATGCGCCGTCGAAGGGGGCCCAGCTGCAGCTGCATACCTCGGGCATGTGGTAGAGAAGCAGCGAATCCATTATCCTGGCTAGTAGCTCCGGAGTGCGTCCAGAAAGGAAGTTGACGACGATATGTGCAATGACGTGGAAGATGAGCGCGCAGGAGCGGAGCTTCGAAGATTCAAGCTGCAAGCGATGCTAAGCTTTGGCCCTTCTTATCGATAACCCTGAGCGGCGGTCTTCAGTGCTTCTACCATCAACACCCGTCATCCACTTGCTTGTAGGAACATCATGACAGCGCGAGTACATATTATACGCCATGGCGAAGCACTGCACAACGTTCAGCGCGGCTACCCACACCGAGATCCGCCGTTGACAAAAGCCGGCAACGTCTCCACCAAACGCGTTAATCTCTCAGTCCAGCCAGATTTGATCCTCATCTCGCCCATGACCCGCACCATACAAACTGCGCTAAACATGTTTCCATTCTTGACGGAGGCAGGTTCATTTCACATCCCCGTTCAGATCTGGCCCGATCTTCGAGAAGCCAACGACGCCGTCTGCAACAAGGGCTTGTCGCGAAAAAAGCTAGCGTCAAACTTTCCCCAATTCGACTTCTCCGAGTGTAATGAAGAGTGGGACTATCCCGAGCATAGCATTGAAGGCGCTACTGAGCGTGCTGAGGGAGTGCGAAGAAGACTGAAAGAACTTTCCGCGACGTATGGTAACATCGCTGTCATCACGCATCGAGGCATCAAAGCTTTCCTCGTGAAAGGCAAGCGCTTTGGACTGGCTGAGACACGTTGCTACCGCTTTTCAACGGAAGAAGAAGCTCGGGACGACAACATCAGGAGAGGAATCAATAGTGATACGCTCGAGGAGCAGGACTTTGGACCCACCGTATTGATCTTGGACGAGTCGCAGCGAAAAGACCAGTAATGCTACGAGGGTATTGTCCACATCACCTGAGCATGACTCCTGACAAGGTCGTTGAAAGTTCAACGCTATCACTTCCATTGCTGTGAAAAGCAGGGAATCTTTGACCCTAGGGCTTGGTGAATTAACACCGATCGCTGCATCGTGGCGCAGAAAATCCGTGTTTGCGGTTCACCAAGGTCTTGATATGGCAGGGGGTGGCACGGTCTAAAAGTCTGCACTACGAACAGCCATAAACCTCACCTGACTGTTATGAGAACCAACTCCACTGACCATCGAGTCCCAAATTGCCTCTACTCAGGACCACTTCGGCCACCACTGTTCAGCCTCGGTCTGTTCTTTCACCATCCTTCACCAAATCTCAACGCATCCGCGCCCTTTCTGCGACTATGGACAACCAGTCCCAGACCGTCCAGACATGGTCTCTCAAAACCACTATCGAAGAAGCTCGAACCAAGCCGAATTTCCGCAGCTATGTGCTTTCGAAAAGCAGTGGCAAGACTATTTTGGCTCTGCATCCGATTGCTTTCGATTTCTTGCAGGAAAGTCTCGTGCATCAAGAGCGAGCAGAGCTGGCTAACAAAATCGAAGCCGACATCCGCTCTGCAAAGCCGAAGACCCCACAGGCAGCTGTTTCATTCGCCCTGGAGGAGTCAATCAAGCGGCTATGCCGTTTAGGTGTGGTAAAGAAGGATGTTGCTACGAGCATTGAGCCTTCTCCGCCTAGCCAGCCCAAATCCGCAGAGACGAGCGATGTGTTAGACGGGAAGAAAACTGGTGCTATCGGTTCACCCACTAGTGCAACGAACAGTAAGCCTTCTGAGCCGGGGCAGGCTATGCCAGTAAGAACAAAGGTGTTGGATGAGAACAAAGCCAGTGTCAACGATACATCGACCATTGTCCCGCCGATAACTGCCGGGCCATCGAAGTATAGCCAGTCCAAATCGGTAGAAAAGAGCACTTTATTAGAGGGCAACAAAGTCTGTCATATCGGTACACAGACTAGTGTCACGACTATAGCTGCCGAACCGTCAAAGAATAGGCCACCAAACACGACACAGATCGAAGGACGCCATGGACTCCGCGCACGAGGCGGGCCGCCAACTACCACTCTAGAGGCCTTTTTATATCGATACGACACATTTACACGACTGGCAAAGAAAGCAGCCGATCCATATCACAAGACACATATGAAAGGCCCCAAGGCCAGTCACTCTCGGCGGGTAAGCTTCAGTCCTAACGTCAGATACGAAGAATACGACCAAGAAAGTCCAGCAAGTACCTCCGATGTAGCCACCAGTGCCAAACCACCATGCGACACCGACCATGAGGCTGATTCATCGCCCAAGCCTTTAGTTCTGCTCTCATTATACGACGTGCCGGAAGCCTCCAAGTCCATTCCCAAGGAGCTACTCATTCGATGCGCCGACGAGGTCATGGCGCAAGGAGCTTTTGGTATCGATGAGTTGGATGCCCAGGTTCTTTACATGCAACGCGGTATTCCATATGGCGACCGCGCATACCAGTGCGCTTGGGTGAAGGAAGCGCAAGAATCGCTCACCCAAGCTTATGCCGCGGTAGACGATGCTTGCCAGAATGTATGCCCTGGTAGTCGTTGTTTGAAGCGGGATCCTGTTATGGAGGCTGTCGTGGCTGTCGCGCGGGCGCAAAGACTTCTTGAGCTTGCGTTGCTGCGCGTGAATGACCCGGCGTATAGTAAGGCGTATCTGACTGCGTATGGGCGTGGTTGATAGTTCGATGCGCGGTTCTAGAGAAGGAGGATGTAGGCCAGAGAGTGGGAGGACCTATATCTTTCTCAATGCATATTGCTCAATGCTCTCCACGTCTTTGTAGTTCTCACTACGTGCTTGCTTCGGTTTGCGCACAACGTGTTTGCCGCCGATTTGGTCGCGTTTATCCCAAATTCGCGTCGATTTCCTGCTCAACAACATGTACAAACCCGTGATCATTCCCATTTCCAGTTAGCTCTACAATATGTGCTTCCTGGTCTTTGCTTGAGATGAAGTCAGATACCATGGTGTCGAATTCCTTTTTACGCCACAGATACCATGTGCCGAAAAAGACGATCAGGTTCAGAGCTATTGTCACCACAAAGTACAACCATAGCCAATGTGAGTAGACCTCGTCGTCCTGCTTAGGTTTAAAGTCAAAGAATGTGGTGCTGAAGAACGTCTGCTGAAGGTTAACACCCTGTCCACATAAGCATGCGCGACGATTGAGCTTACGGCAGTGAAGGTTGCTGGAAGGAAAAACATGGTAACGCCAGCTATTGTCTTCATGAGTTTGCTATCGCGTGAAGTCGATATGGCCACGCTTTGTGAAGACATTGCAAGGCTGGCGCTAGTGCTCGCCAAACGAAGACTTATTGCGGAGTCGCGCTGCGCAATACCACTGTAGACCTATTCACGGTGTGTTAGCTTCTTGACATTTGATCTAAGTACTGTGCTTACAGTCTGCACCAAAGCCTGCCCTCGCTTCGACAAGTACTCTGCCCGGTCCTCGAGACCCGCGTTCCATGATCGCATGTGCGCATGCGAGTCAATCAGCAATTGCTCTACCTCAGTTGACTCATCTTTATCAATCTTGTTTGCATCCGCTTGCGTTCTATAGCGCTGTGCAACCTGATCAAGGAAGTCAAGCATGCGCGCGATGCTTTTACAAGACAACACGATGCGGGCGAGGTTCGTATTAGCAGCGTTGATGTCTTTCGAAAGGTTGCCGAAGTCGATACTCGAAAGCGGTGGATTGTCATGATGATCGAATCGGATGCCCAATTTTCGCTCGTGCCAGTATATCTTATCGTGCCAACTGTTCAGTGCTTGCACTGCCCGCTCGAGGTTGAATTGAACGATGATGCTTGGGATCAGAAAGGCGGAAGTGCTTGCAGCGCCTTGTTGAATTGCGTTTGCGAAGCGATCGTAGTTGTGAGTTGCAAGACCATGCATGAAGATGTACATATGTCTAGTCGAGAAATCGTACGTGAAGGAAGCCCCAACATACACGTCAGACGCCGCGCCAGGAACCGACTGTAAGATAAAGCCTGGGGGTGTGAGCTTTCGAGAAGAGGCTAAATTCTTCTGCTACGTACTCAAATATCTGCTTCGCACCTCTTTAGGTGATGTACGCGCCAGGTGTAAAGGCAACTGGGGGTTGGCAAAGACGTATGTCGCTGCTTTGTAGTCCAAAACCCGGGCGTATATCTCTGGTATCCGAGCAAACAGAGCGATACGCCCAAAAGCATGCGATGACAAAGGCACCGGAGTCATATTGCCATTGTACTCCCCCTTACGCCTCGACCAGCTGACATCTGTTAGCACCACAAACTTAGTACAGAAAAGCGTGTATGCTCACAATAACTTGATTGTCTCTACATTCGCTGGCTGTTTGGTCCTACTACCATCTGTCTTTTCTCACGTCAACGTGCATCTACCCTGAACACTAGTGTGACTTGCCGAGAAGTCTTTCTCAATGTATCTCTCGATCAACTCTTCGCTTACTTCTAGCCTCCTTGCGTGACCATCGCTAGTCACCTCAATCAGCTTTACAGGCACATCTTTGTTCTCCACAAAGGCCAGTGGCGAATGCGTAGCCATAGACACCTGTGATGGGGACGCCGCTCGCGGTCGACCTCCAGTCTTCGTAGCGACGCTGTAGTTGAAACGAGATCTTCCTTAGTAGAGTAATAACATACTCGTAGAAGTGTGAGAGCATCGCTACTTGTTGGGATGAGAATGAGCTGAACCATGTCGGACCTCAGCCGCAGTGGGGGCCAAAAGAGCTACTCGACCGTGATTGGTGAGAAGGGATGGCTATCACATTGCGTCCATGTGAAACAATAAGATCACCTATGGGAACTAGAAGTTCAAGGAACGCCGTCGTGCATATCGACGACATGCGGGTAGGATGAGAGAGGCGCAGCGGCGGGGCGCTCTTGCCTTGCAGCACGCGGGCGTGAGGTATGCGTGCGGCCACTTGCACAAATCGATGTTAGGGCGAAGACGCTACGTCACGCATTTACACAGCTACTGATTGTACGCATAAATGATAACTTTTGATCCGGTCGCCAAATCCTATCCTATACAGCGAATGCGAAAATCGTAGCAACGTTGTTCGTCGCGAAGTAAAAGAAAGGAGCCGATGCAAGCCGAGTGGGAAGTGAAGGCCGCATACTTGGCAGGCGCAAGCGACCTCGATTCAGCCAGCACCGGTCGTAACAGCCAAAAATGAATTGTGCCGCACCCATACACGAGCACAACTACTCATCTGCCGATAAAACACCATTTTCAGCGCCGTGCAGAGCATCAAGTGCACGGTCCAGCTCCTGCTCAGCGACCATGACGGTTCCAGCACGCGCGGTGCTCAAATAACTCATCTCAACAGGATCCTCCAGTTGCCCGGTGGTTTCGCCGACTAATCTGCCAGCTACACCGCACACGATACCGGTGCTTTCCATTGGCAGACCTCGCAGGTCCAAGGTGATGGGTGTCAAGAACTCATCTCTGGAGCCTAGAAGAGTATCGTGCGCGAAATGTGGTAGTAGGGTTTCGTCCAACAACAGCGCGGCAGACTCGGTATCAGTTAGTGTGAGCGATAAAAATTTCGGATATGGCTGCGTGATGAGGCATTTTACGAGACCGAGGTGGAGTGCGTCGTCGGCGGCTGTCGTCATGCTGTTGCGGTTTCGAGCTTGAGAAATGCCATTTGTACTGTCGCGTCGACCGGCGCACTGCACGAGCCGGATGCTCGTATCCACCGTGGGAACGATGTGACGACGCTTGAGTGTAGCGAAGGTCCTGGTTTGAAGCTCTGAAATTGTGGTTGGCGGAGGGGTGCTGGGCGGCTGAACTTCCAGTGACGCGGCTGAGTGTTTGCGGGCATGTTGGAAGGAGTTGACGTATGAGGAAGTGTCTTTTTCGAACTGGAACCCACGCTCTTCTAGCGCTTGTACGACCTGCGATCGGTGTCGCAGTGGGACCAAGATGTAGTCGGAGAAGTAAGTCGTGATGAAGAATATAGGACTGGAATCAAGTCAGCCTTGTGCGGAAGCCTTGTGATGGCGTCTACTTACATTCCAGCCAGAGCAAGAGGACTTGTCAGCTCTAAGACACGTTGTCCTGCATCAAGCCCCTCGCCATCGACTTGCATTACGACATAGTCATCTGTGGTAATACTGACAGACGCTCTTGACTCAGGATCCAGCAAGTTGAGAACAGGCAGAAATAGTTCACTCGCAAGCGTCCTCGAGCATACTATGGAGCACTCGACTGGTGTAATGGAGATATTCACAAAGGGATGTTCGCAGGGCCAGCCTTTGGGCGGCTGCACGGCGCCAGAGCCGTTCCCGTAAGACTTGCGCGTCGCATTGGGCAGAACTAGTTGAAGAATGGACTGGAGAAAGTTGCGATACAGAGGCAACGGAATGTGTATGAGAGCGAGTTGGGTATCCTTGAAGGTGATCATGTTAGCTGATGTCCATGGGAGAGAAAATTTCAGTGTGGGAGGCGAATTATAAGAGTTGCCCTGCCGTTATGTCGTGCATGAAGGACCCGCCACCAAGGCTCTCTCCGGTGTAAGACACGGACACTTTTGCTACCATGCAATGCAGCAGAACGCATGATGAGGGGAAGGCCCACGTACCAGAATACGGATATTCGCACTGAGCAGTGTCAAAGATGAGTCCATTACGTGCCACAAAAAATAGATAAGAATAGGCGTTTTCGATGACGATCGCTCGCGTGCCCGTGGGTAGCTGGATTCGGGATCACTTTCCGATTCGGCAAGTCAAGCTTGACGAGGCTTGCTAAGAGGTCCGTGGAGCCTCCAGAAACCGTAGAAAAAGCAAGCTTATCGTTATTCCGAGAGCCTTAAGATCGCGATGATGGCGTGCAGCCACAGATGAAAATGCGGGGGATCTGACCAGACTATCGGTTGATGTGTTCTTGTCCAACGGGCCAGTGCGAAGTATTGTTTTTGAAGCCGAAATTCATCCCACAAGCCGGAGATGTGTAACTTGGAGAGCAGGATGTGTGGCGCCTGGATACCTCGGGTGTATATGACACAAGGTGCTGTAAGCAATCGTACCGATTCAGTTACGGACCGATGGCATGCGTAGAGGTGACACTATTGCAGGGCACGGTCTGGAAGCTGCTGTATGTGACCTCGAGGCGTGGATTAGGACAAAATGCCGTGAGTCTGGGGTAAAAGATGCGGCGTGGGGATTGATGCAGGTAACCCTTGTCTAATTGGCTGGGAGGCTCACGGATGGTACAGGTGGATGAACCTTATAGTTGGATTTCAGGGCAGAGTGCGCAATGCGCGGGGCCAGATGGGCGCGTGGGGTGGCACACTGGACGGGAATGGACGCCTGGAAGACGGCTGGACGCAGGAATCGGTCCTGCGCGTAGAGCGGATGCTGCTGCTGACGTCGATTGTGAAGGCGTGGGACAGAACCCGGTCAAAAGGCAGTGGAGAGGCAGCTGTTGATGCTGGCGGAGTGGACCGGTGGTTTTCAGGAAGCATCAACGCTTTATGTGAGTCGACGGGCAAGAGTGGAGCTGATATCCGGGTGTGGTGACTCGATGAGGCACCCCGAGAATTTTCCACGACGGCGCGCCCATGATGCTGGGAGATTGGCTCTGTGGCCGGCGGCAAAACAATAGTCAGCGGCGAGCAGAGCATGTCATCTTCAACAATGCGGATGGGACGTCAGAAGCAGCCACAATAGTGCATCCCTTTGTTGCTGGTGTCATGCAGCGCTCGACGAGCTGCAAGCAAGCCTTGGGATCGTCCGTGCTCGTATGCGGGCAACGACCAGTCTCCATGCCGCCGCTGCAACCAGACGCGCACCCAATCTATCTTGTGCTCGAGGGTACCTGATCTACGCCAAAATCAATGACTGAGTTGCACGGCAGCGAAGACGATATTTTCGCGCCGCAGACGGGCAGACTCTCGGGAAGGCGTGTGGTAACCGCAACAACCGACTTCCCTCTCGCACCAGATGACGAACGCCATGCCTCTCAGCAGGAGCTACAGCAGCACATGGAGTGAAGCCCCACGGAGTCCATGGGTGTTGCGGGACATGATTGCGTGCATGCAGCACTGCCCTCTGTCCCTGAGCGGGAAGCCGAGCATAGCCGCCGCTGTCGACCGGACCCTGCTTGACTATCAATCGCCCTTTGCTCCACGTCGCGATACGCGCTGATACTACCCTTTGTACATACGTCCCGCAGTCGGCACTACTCACGGGCAGATGAAGATTCGACCATGGACGTCAGAGCAGCCCGTACCTCGATGCGCGCTGTCGTGTAACCAACGAGGCGCATACCCCGCATCATCTCTCATCTCGCCTGCGCACCCTTCTTCACGACGGTGCGTTCATTGGACCCCCTCGCAATGACGTGCACGCGGGTCAGAGGGCAACCTAAACGACTACCCGCAGTTCGGGAGAGCAGCATTGTCCAGGTGGGTCGTTCCTTGGACAGCTCGGAGTCGACCGACATGACCGCCATGCGATGATGTCGTCTGCAGGACCCCTCTCGGTTCAGCATCCCGGACCCACAAGCACACGCCGCATATGCAGCACGTCTAATAAACAAGCTCGCGCGAGAGACGCTTCAAGTAGCATGCGTGGGGGCTGCTCACCATCTTACTGCGCATTGTCCTCTTACCCCTCGCCAGCTCATCCAACTCCTCCTCCCTAGGTCATAGGTGCCGCTGTTATTCTTCCTATGCTCACGGAAGCCGGGAGACCTCCCGCCATGCATGCATGACATGGACCCTGCCAGTCAGACATCGAGTACGACACGAGCAGCCTTTAAGACATGATGGCCGCCTATCAAGGCTTCCTCTGATAGTGGCTCGCAAGCGACATGGCATGGCCTGGCTATGGCGTGCAGTTTGACAGCAATGTGGTCGCACTGCGTCCAGAGATAATGCGATCTCTGTA